CTTGCCCATTTAGATCGATTAAAAAGGAGGGGTTGGTGGAAAAAAAAAAAAAAATGCACGTATCGTTCCTCGTTGAGAAATAAGTTGCGATATATTTCATTTCAATAGGATACCGAACAGGATTACGTAACGTATTGGAATAACAATGATAAAATCAACAAGTTGAACGTTTAGGCTTCGGGTTTCGAGAAAAATGAGTAGAAAATATCGATTCCAAGTACAAATCAATTATTGAGTCAAACGAATTCGCCATACGTACACGTCGTTCTCTTCAGTTCGAAAAAACATGAATTTAAATTTTTCCTTTATCGTAGAGAATAATAATAATATTAATAATAATAATATTAATAATAATAATAATAATAATCGTAATACAGTGGCAATTACCATATATACATACGTATATACACATATACAGGATACATATGCGCGTACACAAATATGCATATATGTATACACACGTATATACGCGTACAAGACGTAGAACAAAATAAATCTATTTACAACTAAATATATCTCGAGCGATTCGTTTTCTCTTCGATGATATACATATCGATCGTTATTACACATCGTTTATTATTCGTAACGCTACTTAATCATCGGATCGTTCGCTAAAACTTTGGTTAAAAATATATAGACGCGATATATCTCAACTAGTCAATCAAGGATCCCGTTTCACTCGATTCGCGTGCGCCCCATGCTTCGAGAGAAGCTTCGCAATTTTATTTATTTATTTACGCGTTCCTTTCCCTTTCCTTCTTTCTCTCGTTTTCTTTTTTTCCTTTTTTTTTTTTTTTTTTTTTTTTCCCCGTCCCTTTCCCTTTCCTTCTTTCCCCCGTTTTTTTTTTTTTCCCCGTCCCTTTCCCTTTCCTTCTTTCCCCCGTTTTTTTTTTTTTCCCCGTCCCTTTCCCTTTCCTTCTTTCCCCCGTTTTTTTTTTTTTCCCCGTCCCTTTCCCTTTCCTTCTTTCTCTCGTTTTCTCTTTTTCCTTTTTTTTTTTTTTTTTTTTTATTAAATTTCATCCTCTACGAACGTATCTCTATGAACAAATGTACAATAGTTACAATAAATGTTTAGCGATGAATATTATTATTATATTAAATTCGTAAATACTATAAACACATAGACTCGAGCGTTCCGCGACAAACGGTACGAGAACGATCGGTACGATTGGTAGACCGCGATCGACCAGAATTTACGGCGTCTGTCGTTTCACCATCTACACTGTACGCGCGTTATCTTCGCTTTTCGGGCTTGGAACGCGAAACGACGGGCAAAAAAACGTCGGCTGCAAATTTACGATCGGAATTATGTTCCCTTATATAGATCGTATAGATATTATCGTAGAATGTTTATCTTTATAGTTTGTACTATTTCTCAGTATCTCGAACGTTTATATTTCCACGTTTCACGTTCCGAATCGGTTGGATAATTGTCATCGAATGAAATTAAGAAATGCTAAGAAAGGCGTTCGATATTAAAAATAATTAGTCCGTCGAATCGAACGTTCGTATACAAATAAATTCTAGGATCACGCGTACACGCGTAACTGTAGCGGAAGCGCAGTATATCTCACTCATGCACGTGCTTTCTCACTCGAAAATCACAGTTGAACATTGGTTTTTATTTTTTTTTTTCTTTTTCCCACGTTACACTCGTGGTATTCTTTCTTTCCTTCTTACTCGTCGAAATTAAGCTTAACGGGCTTAAACGCGTCTTTCGCCTCGTTTCGTCTCGTTTCGTGCGCGGCGGAAATAATTTTTTTAATCGGAGATTACCGTTCTACCGGAAACGTTCATCGACAACGCGGAGGGAGAATTGGAAAATGATATATATATATATATATATATATCGTATATACGTGTATATATATCGGACGATGTCGAGAAAACGTGTCGGGCGATGTAAACAAAACACGTAGGCGCAGGATCACGGTTGTGAGCGAACGTGATGTTGAAGATATCGAAGCGATCGAGAAAGGAAGGTGGTAAAAGATCGCGACCCCTCCCCTCCTATGGAGGGGACAAGTCGACGAGTCGACGAGATTTAATAATCACGCAGCCGCTGTTCGCTTCAACAGGCGCGCGTTATTTTCGGATCCGCCTTCGTCGCACGCGCTCCCCTATTATTCTCGCGGCCAGAATCACAGTTAAAAGCGCGCGTTACACGCGTACAATCGAATCCTCTCGCCAANCTCGACCCAATCCACACACGCGCCGTTTCCATTTCAACGAAATTACGTCGCGGGGACGAACGAGAGGAGCGGATCGAAGGAAAGGGAGGGCGTTATCTTTCAAATCAAGTTCAAATATCCGCGCGTG